TGCTATAGGTGAGTCTAATTCACGTTCTGATAGAACGGTATAGATACGTTGCCACAATAGGATGGTGCAGTAATATTCAAACATGGCGGATGAAACGTTTGATTTAAACTGTTTACTGCCTTTCGCGATTTGGGCGTACAATGTCCTAACAATGAGAATATATTGACTGTAATCGTTTGAAAATTGTAAGGGGACTGATCGTACTAGCCCAGCATACCCATCGACTATAATTGAGTCTTTGCAATGTGGACCATTCTTCAAAACTGAAGATGAGGAAGATAGATGTTTTGGCTTAAACATATCCTCTGTGACCTGCTTTGGGCGTGATGCTGCGAGTCCTGTTCTGCGTCGGGGTTTGGAAACAGTGGAAACTGGTTCTTCCTCGATTGGACGTTGTTGTAGCTCTTCTTTTGTATCTTTTTCGCGTGGGGGTTTCCCATCACGGCGATTTGAAAATTTATTAAATCTTCTTCTTTGCGACATCTCTTCTTATACACACTGGGCGATAAACCTTGTGAGACAAATGGTTGTTTGTCTAAGATTTCTTTTTATTTGTTTAAAAAACTAAATTTTAAAAAAAGATAACATTTCCGTAAGTGTTAAACTAACAACCTCATTTTCTCAGTGTAGATAAACCATAAACAATTTAACCAAATGAAAAAGGCGTACGAGTAAATACACCAAATCAAGCAGGACAAAAAAATTTAGATAATAAATAAGTGTTGTGTGTGTGAATAGGTATAATATTGTATATGCATTTAAGATACCAGTCCATAAATAAAAGCCAATAAACAAAAGCTCAAAAAATATACAAGAACATCACAGAAGATAAGAAGAACGACCCTCTCAATAGCCAATGCCGGCCATATGGCCGTATTCCAATTACGTTTACTACAGGGCCGGCTTTATCTATTTTGTATATTAATATTTATATTTTTAAATTAAATTTGAAAAAAAAGTAAGAATGCAAAGATATAAATTAAATGAAAACGGTATAAACACTAATTTAACAATAAAATAAATAAAGAAAATACAAGGTCGGTAGCCGGCACTCGGCATGAGGAATATCCACCAAGGCAGAGGGCACTTACGGTGGGTCAGGGTCGTCAACACTTCGGTACGGAAGACAAGATTCAGTATCTCACAAGGGGGCAAACAAGTCTAAAGAGGTTACCAGGAACCTGAAACTGACTCGGACAGAGACGTTGAGAAATACACCAACAAGCACAGGTTCTAGCAGAGTACTAACACTTGTACCCCCATTCATGAATCCCAATTGAATGGGGTTATTACTAAGACCCAGGTTCAGGAGGATTCCGGATTGTACTTAGTTTTGGGTCAGTTCAATGTCCTCCAAAAACCCCCACTAGCCCTCCTTATCCCGCACTCCTCTAGCCTAAATTGGACGTATGGCCCGACCCGGCTGACAAAAATCCGTGGAGCGGCCTTAACCATAGACACTGTCATCCATGACCTCCTAGGGTGGATCTACCAGCCGGCGTAAAAACTGCTGTGAATTGGCGGGATACGTAGGAGAACGGAAAGGGATTCAATAACCCTGGGAGATTAGTGGAAGATAATGTCGATGGGGCCTGCCATACGTTCCCATACTCATACTAATACAACTATATAAATTAGATATTTGTTTGTTTCACTGGGCACAGCAATAACATTTTCAGCTGATTTGGAAATTCTTTTAATTATTTCCATAGATGGCATTTTAATTTCCCGGTACAGAGGATTTTTTCTTAGTCTGTTACTTGTGGCATCTAAGAGTTTCCTCTCATTATATTCTTTAAATTTGAACTAAATTGAATGCCCTAATTCTAGAAAATTTTTTATCTTTTATTTGACGGCATAATTATTTGTATGGTTATTAGTTATTTTCCAACCATTTCTGTAGGCTTTAACCCAGGATTCTCTTTTTGCCACCAGTAATTATTCAGATATGTAATGTATATAATTGCAATATTCTTTTCCATTTTCAACAGCCAGTTCATAATTTGTCACCATATCATTTATAAGTTGACTGAATATAAGATTTTTCTAAAATCGTTATATATTTCCGTTTGCTTTTCAGCAAGAAAAGTTTTATTACATTATAATGTTATAATTGATTATTATTATATAATTATATATATATATATATATATATATATGTATAAATATATATATATATATATATAAATATATATAGCTGTCTACTTAAAAGTAGTCCTCGTGCTCGAGGACGTTGACTCTTTAAAGCTAACCTTTTCTTTTCGTTCAGTTTTTGTCCTCTCTGAGGAGGACATTTTCGAAGAGGATTTATCCTCAGTTCTCGAAGAGGATTTATCTTCAGTTTTGATGGTTTTTGGGTCCATTATTCAAAGTTGCTATACTAGGATCAGGAAGAAAAAAAAATCTACGGATGCCATTTTTTGATTTTGACAACCACCTGCACACTGCTTGTAACACATGAAAAACACATAAAAATCGTTTAGCTGCTGGCCACACATCACCTACAGCTTTTTGCCACCAGTAATTATTCAGATATGTAATGTATATAATTGCAATATTCTTTTCCATTTTCAACAGCCAGTTCATAATTTGTCACCATATCATTTATAAGTTGACTGAATATAAGATTTTTCTAAAATCGTTATTTATTTCCGTTTGCTTTTCAGCAAGAAAAGTTTTATTACATTATAATGTTATAATTGATTATTATTATATAATTATAAATATATATATATATATATATATATATATATAGCTGTCTACTTAAAAGTAGTCCTCGTGCTCGAGGACGTTGACTCCTTAAAGCTAACCTTTTCTTTTCGTTCAGTTTTTGTCCTCTCTGAGGAGGACATTTTCGAAGAGGATTTATCCTCAGTTCTCGAAGAAGATTTATCTTCAGTTTTGATGGTTTTTGGGTCCATTATTCAAAGTTGCTATACTAGGATCAGGAAGAAAAAAAAATCTACGGATGCCATTTTTTGATTTTGACAACCACCTGCACACTGCTTGTAACACATGAAAAACACATAAAAATCGTTTAGCTGCTGGCCACACATCACCTACAGCTTTTTGTTCGGCCAAAGAGTCATCTGTCATACAGACTTTAGGTCCTTCTTTGTGTCCTCCAAAAATATGTTCACCCACAAGTTTCTTTAAAATTTCAAACCCACATTTGGTTGCCTCTACAGATTTTGAAGTGGTAATCAAAAGCTTTAATGGTAATGCTCCACATTCACTGTCAGTGAATAGAAGAAATATTCTGCTTCCATCTCTTACAACAGTTTTAGACGAGTCCATAAATAAAATTTGAGATGCATTCTCAATGTGTTTTTGGACCCTCATAAGACTCATAAGTTCTTGTTTAACATCACTATAGTCCGTTCCAGATAAGAACTACGTAGATGTCGCTGCAAAGCGAGACAGGTTTACACAGGAGAACGCGGGAAATTTAAATTTAGGATGATTTGTCTGTGATTAGTTTACTATTATTTTATTATAAGTTTGTTCCTAACCGCTATTACTGATGCGTTAATGTCACAACAAAAATTGACAATCATAACAACGCCACATATTTTAATCTTCTTTATCTCTGATTTTACTAGGTATTTTGACAAATTTTTATGATTTTATAATGTAAAAATTCTTTTATTAACAAATTGACATCGAAAATGTAAAATTTAATAGAAAATTAATAAGTTTAAGTTTACATCTCTAGATTTAATATACCTACTTACATTGTTGAGGAATATTTACTTGATCGAATGAAATAAATTGGGGTTAACATATTGTAAGTGATAATAAGAAAGTAAATATTGTAAAATTTTATTTGAAATTTTTTATCATAGGTTGAGATTTAAAAAAACGTAAATTGTTAGTAATATTTTATTACACATTCTCATAAAATAATAAAACATAATAAAAAAACTTTTTAGCAAGGGAATAATACAAATTTAAAGAATATCAAATTCTGATTTAGAGAAGATGTCTTCTGAAGAAGATCCTGTGTTGACTGTAAAAATCATTTCTTCTATCATTTCTTCAATTTGGTTATCTAAATTGAATAAAACATCTTCTTCTTTAATGGCATGTTCTACACAGTTATGCCATTTTTGTGCAGTTATTAAATTGACTCCTTCATTAAAAAGATTTTTAACATCAGACAATTTAAATGTGGTGTTTTTTGAAGCCATATACCCTTTAATGTCTGCCCAAATTAATTCAATTGGGTTTAATTTACAGTGGTAAGGTGGAAATCTTAAAATAGTCCTTCCTGAATTATTAACAATATTATCAATTTTATATCCTATCGGATTTTGTAAAATATAATGTTTTGCCAAATTTAAAAGTTGGACCTTTAGCATTCTCTCATTTATAGCAATGTTTTTTGAGGCAAGAAAGTCATAAATATCCTTTTTCCTCCATGATGATGATGGACTTTTTTCTATTTTAACTGAATGATAGGGGGCATTATCCATCACAATTACACTGTTCTCTTCTAATTTTGGTAAAATATTGTGGATCCATGTCTCAAAAACATTACCATTCATGTCTTTATGATAATCCCCTGTCGATTTGGACTGGAATACATTTAAACCACCTTCGACAAACCCTGTATTTGACCCAATATGGGTGATGATAAGTCTTTTACCTTTGCCTAAAGGGTCTTTTAAACCAGTTGATAATCCCTCGTTAAATGCCTCCCTTGCTGTCCTTAATGTACTATCCTTCCATACCTTGGGCTTCGTGTGGCCTGCATTTATCCAAGTTTCGTCCATATAATATATTTTTCGATTCTGTAAACGATAACTTCTGATGTTATCAATACATTTTCTTCGCCAAATTACTATTTCACTTCTTTCTATTAGTAAATGATTCCTACCTCGTTTTTTATACTTAGCTTAGCCAAAACGTCTTTACTGTCCTCTTGAGTTTCCTGAATAGAATTTTTAAAAATCACTGTTAGGTATATGTTTAAGTTAAAATTGCAGATAGTTTATTACCAGCTCATATTCAGTCTCCTCATCCTCATCTTGATTTTGACTATAATCAAATTCGTTTTGATCTAAATATTCTATGTAAACATTGTCATCGGCTGGTAAAATTGGTAAAGATGGAAGACTGTCCTGTGAACATCCTGTGAACATCTATAGACGTTACCTATAGGTACGCAATGCTCCGCTACGAATGACATTTGTTCATAATACCATGGCGAAGGTTTGTCAATCTAACAAAATTATAAAATTATAAAGCAACTGTAATAATATTTTAAAATACTACTTACATCATCGCTACCAGCTCCGCTTTTTACAGATGACAAATATTTTCGATGCTGTACCAAAAAATTTGTTTTAAATTGCTAAATTTTCCTTTTATCTCTGCGATAGATGCATCTACACCGAGTTTGGATAATTCGGCCTTTATTTCTTTCAATGCTTTGATTCTTGCATTTCTGTTTTTGTACATGGAATTTTTTGGCACATATAAATACGGATTTGCTTTGTATAGCTCAATCAAACTCTCTATTTGTTTATGACTCCACATGTTTAAGCACACAACATAAGCATAACCTCACTTTTAGTTGACATTTCAGGATTTTTAGTACAAGAAATTAGAACATGCTCTAATTTTTCGTACTTAATCGGCGCGCGCATCTAATTTGTGAACAAAATATTTTAAGTACTAAATTCAGTACTAAAATTAGCATAATGGCAAGCGGGCCTAAAGTAGGTATGTCTACAGATAAGGTATTTTTAATTAAAACTAAATACATACAAAGTTTTCCTTTAGTTTAAAATTAGATTGGCATAAAGTAAATAAAGCGTTAAAAATATATTCTTTATAAAATTAAAGCAAATTAAAGTTTCTTTTACAGGGTCCTGTACAAATGGGAGACTCTAAAATTTAAAGAGGCATAAAAAAATCAAGCTTGCACGGTTTAAAAATCGTATTTTAACCATACATACTGGATTTTTTCAATGTCTCTTCAAGAATAGATTTTAGAGGGATGACCATTTGTACTATCCATCTGTACAGAGCGTTAAGAAAATTAAAAAAGAATTCAGGAGTAATTAGTTTGTTCATAACGCCATTTTTTACAAAATTACAATTACAAAAGTCTCATCATATTTTTAAATTCTAACCAACCTTTTGTAGGAATTTTATACATAGGGGGACTTTAAGTTTTGTAAAAAATATCATTATGAAGAATAGAAACACTTTATTTTATGAAAATATATTTTTTATATGACCTGATGGAAATATTTTAACAAAACGAAACTTTTTATAAAAAAATCTTTACCTTAAAAATTCATAATTAAATTTGTGTTAATTTTTGCATTTTTTTATTTTTAGTGTATTTTTTTGTTGCTTATTGAAATGATCAGACCATTCCTGGAAAGAAATAAATAAATAAATTGTAAGGATCTTCTGGTGTTGACGAACAAAATTTTCTACAATGCTCACAATTTGGAAATTTTTCTAAAAATTTCTTAACAATGAAGTGGCTCCTTCTTCAACAGCCTTAATTATTTCAGCGCATAACAAATTTGTAGGGTTGTCTGAATGTTCCAAAGGCTTAGGTGCCTCAGGCTTGCCCTTTATAAATGTCTGCAGATTAGAGAGAAGGGTGAGGTCATCTTTTTCACAATTTCCTCCTAAACCTTGATTTACTAAGCCATTTAAAAATTAAAAATGCAAATTGATTGGGGGTTGGGTTATCACATCCGCCTTGAACTGCTCCAAATAGGTTTTCCAGAGAATCCTGATTTAAAGACCGTGGCCGTAAACTTTGATACCCGCGACTCTAAAGGAGGGCCCAGGGCTCGAATTTTTGTGCTACGCGGAAGTTCCAAGGTCTGCTGAACGCATCCGTAAAGAGTGCCATTGGGTCCTTTGCATTTCGCGACACATAGATCGGCACTACTTTTGAGAGATTTGAGGCAAAGAGGTCTATCTGGGGAATACACCATTTCTGAAATATCTGTAGGGTCGCCCTGTAAATAGTTAAATAGAAAAGGATTAAACTACTTGGTTAAAATCGAAACCATTCGGCAATTAAGAGAGCTGTCTCTTGTTGTCTCTGCAAGTATGCAAATTAACACCAAAGAGTAAACGAATGTTAGGTAACTAATACAATTTAATAATCTTTTTTTTGCCCTCCCAACTAATTATTAGGGATTATTTTATCACACTTTTCGGCATATTACCGATTTTAGATGTCAATTTTTTGTTTATAATTTTACTGTTGCAGAATGTTATAGGAGTAATAAAATATTTACTAGTACATAGTTATGTTGATTAATAAATAAAGGCTTTATTAAATTGACTTTACGCAACTTTAACAAACTAATTAAAAAATTATGTCCTATCATATCACAGTCAGGGACGGATCCACCCCCGGAGTACCCTCTGAATCCTCACTTCTGGAGTCAAACCTTAAAATTTGCTTTTTAGCACGCTTGCGACGGGACTTGTTCCTTATGGCTCCCATCAGAGTGCGTTGGTAAAAGCATCATCTGGTGCACTGGCCTTTTCCTTTTCTAAATAGGCCGTTAGGCTTTGTAAGTACTTATCTATGGTCAGCTCGCTAGGACCCACAGATTGTAACCTCAACTTGAGGGCTATGGCGAACGGCAGCTTAGCAGCGGAGAGATAGGTCGATGGGCAAATGTTGTTTCTTGATACTTACGTGTGTTTACTAAAGGCAAATCAAAATTGGGCGCCAGTGTCTTATTTGGGCCAGTTGGTAAAGTCTAAGTAAGTCATACACAATCTTACTAAAGATTAAGGACGGTTTTTAAAAGTCAAGTCTAAAAAAAATAAATCAAAGTTATATTTGTTTCACCGATGTTGAAATGATCACTTTTCATTTAATATTAAACATTTGTTTGATTTATAATTTTGGTGCACCCTTATATGGCCATATATGGTTTACAAAAACCAAAGTCTAATAGACTAAAATAACAGAGAAAATATTATCGATGATAAAAAAATACATTTAAAATAACTACAATTTAAAAGTTAAAGACTATGTTGAACTCTTGACTCAAAAGTACACAAACGAGTGTAGTGCACGCTATACTACTATACAAAGTTAGTACGACCTGAACGCAGTTGGGACCCTGGTAGAGTGTGTTTCCAAATAGGTTGGCTTCCGATGTTGAAGTCTCCTATCATGTCAGATTTTACGTAAAAACTTGTCATCATCAAAACAACTTAAGGGTAAAAAACCATTCCTTCACAACAAATCTGACATAAAAAGTCTTACAAAAAAAACTCCAGCATAAAAAAACCGTATTTAAAACCCTAAAAAAATTGTATGACGCCTAAGCATCTTGAAAAACTACAAAATGTTAAACTTAACCTTGGTCTAAGAGGTTTGTAATCTTCTAAAATTAACCTTCCTACGCTGGAAATAGCTCAACAAAACTTCACTCAAAAAAAAAACTATTAACTCACCCTGAGTTTTCGTACGGCACAATCAATGCTTTATCCGGCACTGGGCCATTGAACCAGGAGAATTACTACACATCTTTGGAATTCTATCCAAGTTCTAAGCCAAACCTTACTCCCAACCAAACGGCTTCAGCGATCAAACGGAAAAGAAAGCGTAAACCTTGTTAAGTGCGTAGAAGATTATTTAAACAAAAACTCAACAGTGTTCCCTATGTTGACAAAACTAAAAACAAATGCAACGAAAAGTGTTCTGGGTTGCATACTATGAAAACAAGGTAATAAATTAAAGAAAACACCCTCAAAAATAAAACTAGACACTGTCAATATTCTAAACGACGCGCCGTCTGTGTCGGTAAAAGAAACATCAATAAAACTAATTAAATTATTTTGGAAAGAGGCAACTAAACAAATATCCTTATTAAAAATGCCTTTATAACATATTTTAAACTAAAATAAATCAACGTAACGGTTAACATCTATACCGTTCTAGATGTACAAAAACTAATAAAAAAAAAATCAATGGGTAACTGTCAAAATGACGGTTACAAGGTTTTGTAACCCGTCTTCTTTTTGTGCCCTGTCTCCTTAGAAGACCAGTGCGAGCACGTTCCTCCGCAGCTTCATCTTGTATTGCTTCTGCGTCTCCCTCGGAAACAGGGCGTATATCTTCTTCGACCACATCTGGGACGACTATGACATTCATGGTATCCCATGCGGCAAGTTGTCGTTGACGGCGTCCTCAGACCCTTGCAAATGCTGAGGAAATTTCTCAAATACATCATAATGTTCTTGAGGAACTTCTTTAAAAACAATATGTTCTTGAGAAATTTCCTCAGCATTACTACGAGTCCGCTTGGTTTTATGTAAAGTTACAACTGCGTCTGAAAATATAATATAATGTATATATATATATATATATGTATGTATAGAGTGCATAATTTCATACCGTCTCTCTTAAATAAAGCCACCTAAATTGAGGTTTTCCACCTAAACCAGATGGTTGACACAAAACCTCCTTGCGGACGTATATTTTTGGCGCAAATACGCCCATCGTTTTTCCACACTTTCCATACTAATCTCACCAGTAGGACTTAAGATTAGTCTAATAGTGTTCCAACTATTTCGTTTTTTTTTGTCATAAATGTTCTTAAACCCCTGCACTAAACGGATTAACTCCCCGTCGTCCATATTTCCAATAATTCAAAAGCAAGACTTGGTTCTAAAGCGTCAAGAACTAATTTTATATAGCCAACAGCCTGATCATTAATCCCAACTGTTGGCTCGGGACGTCTTATGTTTTGAATCCCTGTAGAAATCCCTCGATCTATATCCAGTAAATCCTTGACATCTGGACTTTTGTGTTTATGTCCTCCTACAACAAAAATATGTGTTTGCACTGAAATTGTTCACATTTAGTCATTTTGTAATTTGATCAAGTTTTTAATGTTTAAAATAAACAGTTACTGAATCCTATGTTTAATTTATTAGGTTTCCAAATTTTTTCTTAGAAAAAGTATTATTTCTACTGCTTTAAAAAAAAGTTTCTTATGAACCCTGCTGAAGAATAAAGAAAGTGAAGTTCAACTTACTGATAGGGGTTTCAGCCCTAGAGGTCGGCCGGGTTGAGGCAGTTGCCGACATGGACCGAGTTGATGGGCCCGGTGTTGGAGACACCAGGTGAGGGGTATCG